AGAGTAGGAGGGGAGGGGAAAGAAACTCAGAGCATCATGGGGCCCCCAGCAGCCTAGGCCTATAGCAGCATAACTAAGGGAGGGCTCAGGGTCACCTGATCCAGCCCTAACTATAAGCTTTATCAAAAAGGAACGTCTTAAGTCTAATCTTAAAGGTAGAGAGGGTGTCCGCCTCCCGAACTGAGACTGGGAGTTGGTTCCATAGGAGAGGAGCTTGATAGCTAAAGGCTCTGCCTCCCATTCTGCTTCTGTGGACTCTAGGAACCACAAGTAAACCTGCACTCTGAGAGCGAAGTGCTCTGTTAGGATGATAAGGCTCTACGAGGTCTTTAAGATACGATGGAGCCTTGTCATTAAGGGCTTTGTATGTTAGGAGAAGGATTTTAAATTCTATTCTGAATTTTACAGGGAGCCAGTGGAGAGAAGCTAATATGGGAGAGATATGATCTCTCTTGCTAGTTCCTGTCAGTACTCTGGCTGCAGCATTTTGGATTAACTGGAGGCTTTTTAGGGAATTATTGGGACATCCTGATAGTAAAGAGTTACAGTAGTCCAGCCTGGAAGTAACAAATGCATGGACCAGTTTTTCAGCATCACTTTGAGACAGGATGCTCCTGATTTTTGCAATATTGCGCAGGTGAAAGAAGGCAGATCTAGAGACTTGGTTTATGTGTGATTTAAAGGACATATTCTGATCAAAGATGACTCCAAGGTTCCTCACAGTAGTACTGGAGGCAAGAGCTATGTCATCTAAAGTAACTATATGATTAGACAGCAGATTTCTAAGGTTTTCAGGCCCAAGCACAATAACTTCAGTTTTGTCAGAGTTTAGAAGTAAGAAGTTGCAGGTCATCCAGGCCTTTATGTCTTTAAGACATGCTTGAAGTTTGACCAGCTGACCTGATTCATTTGGCTTCATAGATAAATATAACTGAGTATCATCTGCATAGCAATGGAAATTTATGTTGTGCTTCCTGATAATATTGCCTAAAGGGAGCATGTATAAAGTGAAGAGAATTGGACCTAACACAGAGCCCTGTGGAATGCCGTGACTAACTTCAGTTTGTGTGGAACATTCGTCATTAACATGAACAAATTGAAATCTTTCTGATAAATAAGATTTGAACCAACTTAGCGCAGTTCCTTTAATCCCAATAACATGTTCAAGTCTCTGTAGTAAGATGCTGTGATCAATGGTGTCAAAAGCAGCACTGAGATCTAAGAGGACAAGTATGGAGACAAGTCCTTTGTCCGAGGCTAGGAGAAGATCATTGGTGACTTTCACCAGTGCGGTTTCTGTACTATGATGGACTCTAAATCCTGACTGAAAATCCTCAAACAAATCATTCTTGTGCAAGTGGTCACATAACTGCTTTGCTACAGCTTTTTCAAGGATTTTGGAAATAAATGGGCGATTGGATATTGGTCTATAATTAGCTAGGACACCTGGGTCAAGAGTAGGCTTTTTGAGTAGAGGTTTAATTACTGCAAGTTTAAAAGCCTGTGGAACATAACCTGTTAATAGAGAGAGGTTAATCAGATCTAGTATGGATGTGTTGATTAGGGGCAAGCCGTCTTTGAGCAGCCTGGTCGGGATGGGGTCCAGGAGACATGTTGATGATTTAGATGAAGCAATTGTTGAGGTCAACTCAGAGAGATCTATAGGGGAGAAGTAGTCCAAGTATAAATGAGGTCTTACAGATGTTTCTAAAGCCATTGTAGTAGATGGCACATCCATGAGAGCTGTGGGAATGGTCCGAGCAATTTTTTCTCTAATAGTTGTGATTTTATTTGTAAAGAAGCTCATGAAGTCATTGCTGCTGAGATCTAAGGGAATGTTAAGCTCAACAGCACTGTGGCTCTTTGTCAGCCTGGCTACAGTGCTGAAAAGAAACCTGGGGTTGTTCCTATTTTCCTCAATCAGTGATGAATAAAATGCGGTTTTGGCACTACAAAGGGCTTTCTTATATGTTATTAAACTATCTTTCCAGGCTATGAAAAACTCTTCTGACTTAGTGGAGTGCCACCTCCTTTCCATTTTTTGTGATGCCTGCTTTAGGGAGCGGAGCTGTGAGCTGTACCACTGGGCTATCCTCCTCTGTTTCACTGCCTTCTTTTTCAGAGGGGCAACGGTATCAAGTGTATTACGCAGGAAGGCTGCAGTACTATCAACAAGATTATTGACTTGTGTGGGAGTAAGGTTAAGGTGGCCTCCTTCTACTGTGTTGGCAAACGGCACTGAGGTAGATAAAGATGGAATTATTTCCTTAAACTTGGTAACAGCATTGTCAGATAGACATCTACTGTAGTGGAATTGTTTCCCACATGGAGTATAATCCATTAATGTAAATTCAAATGTTATTTAAAAATGGTCAGACAGAAGAGGGTTTTGAGGAAAGAATATTAAGTGTTCAGTTTCGATGCCATATGTCAGAACGAGATCAAGAGTGTGATTACAACAGTGAGTGGGTTTATTTACAATTTGAGAGAAGCCAACTGAGTCTAATAATGAACAGTATGAATTGTTGAGGCTGTCATTTTTGGCATCTACATGAATATTAAAGTTGCCTACTATGATTATTTTATCTGTCAGACAGAAATCAGACAGAAAGTCTGAGAATTCACTTAAAAACTCTGAATAAGGAATTTCAGTGAGAAAACAGTGAAGCTGGACAGGATATGGACAGAAAATGAAAAGGAGAATAGAGTGGGCAGGAGAGACCAAGCAGGACAAAGACACAGAGGGGATGAGGAAATCAAAGAAGAAAAAGTGTGTGGGTTATAGATTAGAATAACCAACCAGAAAGAGGGATGGAAGCAGGGAAAGATGAAGAGACGGTATATTTTTATTTTCTGTAGCCTAAATGTACAAGTTTCAGTGTGGCGGAATAGCATTTCACTCAATAAAATAATTTTGAAGTCTGTTTTATATACGGGACATATAACAGTATACTCTACTGTATGTGCAAACCCCCAGATCGCGTAATGCCATGCCATCATGCCAAAACCTCTTGCCACCCCTTTGCCACCCTATGTAAAATTTTCTAGATCCACCACTGATAGTAAGCCTTCAAAATGACACCATCCAAATGATGAGTCATTATTATACTTCTTGATCTCTTTGTAATAAGCTGGGTTGAACACCAATTAAGACAAACATATTCAATTATATTTTTTCTTTGGCCCAAACACAAAGCAGAAATTTGAGATGTTACACCTGCCTAAGAAAACCCCCTGAAAATGCAAGCGTGATTCATCCTTGTACAATG